AATAAATAATTACTACTATATATATATATATATATATATATAAAGGGTGGGTGTGGTCTAGTGATTATTGTGTCATACTGTAAATTAGAGGGTTTGTGATTATGTCCTGTTGCCATGATAATATGCTTTTTATTCGTTACTCTGGGTGGGTTAAACAATAGTATAGATCTGTTAAGAAAGAAATGAGGAAATAACCTCAACTGTTATGAATTCATGAGTCATTGAGTCGAGCCCGGTTTCTAGAGTGGTTAAAAAAAGTTATAAATACAGCTAATAAACTCACTAGTCAGGAGAAATGCTTTAGGGCATGTGGTATACCACCCTCTGTGGAATATTGTTAGGACAGAAAATGTAATTTAAAGTACACATTCACAGTTTAATGATTAAATATAGTAAATATATAGTATATTTAAATATACTAAAGTTCCTGTTTACTGTAATATACCACCTTCTGGTGGTATACTGTTGGCAGATCTTACTCACCCTCTTTGTCACTTCTTCAAAAGCTGATAGGTTAATAGGGTGAAGATAAAATCAATATGACGAGATGTTTAGGCAAGTGTATATGTAACCCATACTCCTCTTCAATTTGATCATATCTATTCACAGTTAGCAGTAGCTATCTCTGACAAAAGTCAAATAACTAGCTTTGTTGCATTGTCAATAACAAGAATCCCACTTTCTATGGTACTGAATGATTGTTTATAGAGTGCCTAGCGTAACCTAAGTGTTCCAGAAATTTCATTTGGCCAATGATTGCACTGGTTGTATTCTTTAATTATGCACTGGATAAAACCCTAATTACAGGTTGACTTGGATGTCAGACACACTTATAACGTGCCATGCACAAACTAGTTACTTGCAATTTTCTGTGACTTGCATAAAGTTTTCCTTTCCTTTTCTGTGATCCTTCTTATAAATACTGCTAGTTGCAATTTTTTCTCAATTTCAATTAAGAAGCTAGTAAAGTACAACTGCAATTAACAGAAATCCATTGTATTGAATAAACATCCTAAATATTAAAAATAAAATGTATTTGGATTGAAAAATTTAGTTATTTTATTCAGACTATAGTCAAGGTGTAGTGATGATGTGAAAACCTTGTCTAAACGTTGTACATTTGCTGTTATGTTAAACTTATAATAAAGTTTTTCTTCATTACCCATTCAAGCTGTCTCCAAGCATTATTAGTTTTAATATGCACGTTTTGTTATGAAATTTAACAAAATCTATGAAACACCTAACAGAAAACATGCTTTACCTGTCTATTGTCCTGAGTACTTAGTCCAATAGCTTTCATCTTTTTCTTCAAAATTTTGTCTGAGAGCAAGTGATACACCAGCTTAGGCAATGGTTCTCTCTTCTTTTCATTTGTTCTAAATGTAAGAATAAAAGCAAAGAATCCTACAGTTGAAATACTTAGGCTCATTGTTCAAAATGTCATTGAACAAGTACTCAGAAAATAAAATAAACATTTAAAGTAATATCTACCAAAAAATGTAGCAAATAATTATTAAAAAAAAAGTTTTTCAGTCACAATTAAGATTAATAGTAGCAATAGTATATCATCTCACAACATCCATAAAAACTAACATATTTCTGGAACTGTACTACTATACTGTCTTTTTGTTTCCTTTTATTAAGATTACTTAAATATTTTATTTATTCATACACAATCAATGATAGTTGGTTTGTTCTAACTAATGCCAAGACTCATAAATCATAAAAAGATTGGAAAATACGAGATAGTATTTTATTACAAAAGTTTACAACATAAAACTTGATATCAAGAAGCTGATTTAGTTTCTTTGTTTCTTTCAGCACTGCAAGAGTTTAGCATAAATCCAGAAAATTTTTATAGTTCATGGGAAATTACTCAACTTTTTTTCGTCTTTTTCCCTCAAAAGGCACTTGTCTAGATGGACGTTCATGTTTTTTGTTGGTATAGGAACACTGCATACAGGACATGCAACTGAAATAAAATAGGTGTAAATAAATAAAAGCAGTAGAACAACTTACAGTTAATGCTACAGACACTGTCAACATGGTTAATTGGACTAGTAGGCTTTTTTTAATCAACAGGTAAAACAAGAAATGACTAAATAGTTTAAAATGCCTATGTGGGAGTTTTCAACATGTTCATGCGTGTTGTTTAACACATTCAACAAAACATTAGCAACAGCAAATGTCAGAAAACTGCATTTCATTTGAGAAAAATAAAACTTTAAAAATATTATCAAATTTAATAGGGCTGATACAATACGATTTGTATCTAGATATTGATGCCACGATAGAATACATATCTAGATACAGAAATTTAACCAACTGTTTGTTACAAAGTTTGACAGCCTTGTCCATAACTTATTATCCATATTACTGACACTGTGCTGCTATAATTTGTATTTATTTTGTATTTTTTATGGTGGTTACGAGGCTGGTCAATCTGACCGACTTCACATAAAGTTAGAGTAGTGAATATAGTACATAAAATATGAAGATTTATCAAAAAAAAAGCTAGTAAATTTATTTTGGACATTTTATAGATGACTCAAAAGAAATTTGTTACTTTTTAGATGGATAAAAGTATTTTAAATCTTAGCATGAAGATCACTTTACCCTCAGAGCAGTGACTAATTTGACTCTATATATTAAAACATTAATTTTTAGTAAAAATACTTTATTAGAAATTCTGATTTTTTCTGTACAAAAGACTTGTAATGTTTACTGAAAGCTTGCCAAATTTTGTGAAGATACATAAATCGTATTGTAACAGATGATGTATCGATACAATCGTATCATGGCTTTGTGATACAACACGAGTATTGTATCACTGTATTATGACACCTCTAAAATTTACTACTACTATATTCATTCACTCAACTTACCCATTCAGATTCAACACAGGTGCTACCTTTCACCCATGTTGCATTATACTGACATGCATTAATGGGCATACTTCTTTTGAGATAATAATTATCCTGCATTCAGATTAGAAGAAGTGGATCAAAACTGACAGAATACATACTTTACACACAGAAAATACACTACAGTGGTACACAGTCATTCAACTAAGCCAAAAATGTATAGTCAATTTATCTCTGTGTGGCACAAGTATCATACAAGTTCAAAATTGTTGGTGAAATTTACCTAACAATACAGACTTTTCTGGTATTTCAGATTTGTATTCTCCACTGGTAGATCCTTCTTTATTAGAAATTACACCTGCATCTGTTGGAGACATTATGGTTAGGGAAGGTAAAAAGGCTGTAGTCGATGGCATCAATACACTGTCTTCACGTACTATATCTGATTTTTCCTTAAATAATTACAAACAAGAAAAACATTCAGCACTCCACCAATGAACTTTACTATGAAAAGTCTGAAATTAATCTCTAATACGTTATACAAAAATTAATATTTTTTAGTGATAGAAAAAGATATAAACAAGTAATGGCAGTATTCGTGTACAAAACATATTTATGCAATTCAAAGTTTTTAAAAACATGGAACTAGCGTAAAAGTGAGGAAAAGCATTATTGCCAAGTTCAACTGATTCAAAATTGGTTTCAGCTTAGCACTTCTCGAGTTGATGTTTTCATTCTCAGTTCTACTAATTATCATAAAGTTAATGGTCATGATGTAAGGATGTTACATTCTGTGCATTAAACATGACATGCAATACCAGACAAGATTTCGGTTCTAAGAGTTATATACAAGCAGACAACCACAAAGTAGTGAAGCAGCATCTTCCTCCACATAATGTTGACCAAGTGTGCTTGTATTCTTCACGTAACTGCAAATTTTGTTTCTTAATTTTATGTCACAACCTTTGACAAAGTTACATTCAAAAATTAATTCAACAACTTTATTATCAATATATTCCAATCAACTTGGCATCAAACATAAAAAACATAGTTTATAATTCAAGTTTTAACATAAGTTTTAATTTCTTAAATTAAAAAGTAAATATTTAAATAAATTATCAATCTTCACTTCTGTATATCATGTGGCACTTCTTCACTTCAACTGTCCACTTTTGAAATTATTTCTACCCTGATATGAGTTTATATAAATTACATAATTAGAGCATAGACATAATCTTAATATATAGCTTCTAATCTTCTTGTTTCACTGAGATATAAAACAGAAAGTTAAATCCACATGCCATACCCTCCTATCAAATATTGTCTTTCAAAAAATATGAATAAACATCAAATTACAAGAAAGGTCATAAAATGAATAAGGTCTACACTTGTATAATTTTGACACATATGAGTAAACCATACTAGCTCAAAATAACTTTTTATGACAAATATATCCTAGCTTTGCATGACTTTCATTGAAGAAAAGGCATATTCAGGATCACTGCTATTGGATTCTTACCAATAAATCTTTCTCTTCTTGAACTCTGGGGAAAGACCGAGTTTTATCCTCATTTGAAACTTTAATTTTTCCACCAAGTTCCTGTACATTGTGTTCATCCAGCCTAAGGCATTTTCTGAGGGTTTCTCTACATAAAAAGAAAATAATTATTGTACAAACGTCAGGCATTAAACAATGATGATACATTATTAATATTGATTTTCAAAATAAAAAGGGTCAGGAATTGTATGTGTGTAAATATCAACAGTACTAGTTAACATTTCTAGAACATGAACAAAACTTTTGAATCAGATATCTTACATATGTAATAAAATAACTTCCTGTAGGACACGAAAGAAAATTAAATTCTTTTAGAAACTTATGAACTACTAAGTTTGATTTATTAAACAAACAATAGGCAAATGTTATTATAAAGTGTATTTTCCATTTTTGTATGTCAAAAATTGTGTCAGCCATTTTTATTTCAAACCATTAAAATCAAACTCTTCCATCATGTTAAAACATCCTGCAAATTTATCCTATCCTTTACAAATTTCCAACACAAACTTGTTATTGTCAGCTATGGTACCAGTGTCTGTTTATTAGCTAGATTATCTGGACTTTTGTATTTTATGTGCATGGTGAATTTTTTTTTCTTTCTACATTTGATAACATTGTTCTTGTGTAATAGTAGCATTTCAAGTGTGCATTATTTTCTGGTGGTCTCTGTTAATGACTTTTTTCCTCAATACCAAAGATCGTCAGAGCAACTAGTGTGTCTAATATCAAATGTTGAGAAAAACTATCACATATTATAAACAAGCCACACCCTATCTTATTAGAATGCAGTAATTGTTCTTCCTTTTTCCATCTAAAACTAATTAGATGGCATTTTTTGTTTGAATTCTAGATTTTAATTATCATAATCAGTAACCTTCTAAAGAATTTTCATAAACAAAAATCACCTTTTTTTATAAATAGTTTTGACTTTTAAGAAAGATTGACTTCTGCAATTTTGAAAAAAAAAAATTTTTGTACAATTAATAAATTAAACTTATTATTAATTCAAATTGAAATAAAAATGTATTAAATATAAAAAAACAGGAGTTAAATATACTCTTACATAAGCCTTAAGTAATGCTTCAGAAAATCATCCACTAATCTATTGTTTCTTAGCTGGGGTTCAGAAGTTTCCTAAAATAATTGAAAACTTATTGATGAGTTTTCATATGAAAATAAAATATATTTGTCACCTTAAAACACATATACAAGATTTTTCACACAGAATTCCAAAATAGAAAACAAACTTAACGATCTACATTAGCATTATCCTTGAGTTCCAGTTAAAAATAACCTAAAGACAAAACACTGATTTCTCAATTTGTTAATTCAATATTTATTTGTTAAACTTTGTTACAAGAATTAACTTAGCTTATTTTGCTTACAGAAGTGTGGGCAGGAAAATGAAACACGAATAATTCAGCTTCTCTACTGCTGGAAAAAAATTCTTTCATTTTTGTAAAATAAAAAAAGGAAACGAAATTCACTTACTTATCTAATATAATGCAAAAGCAAAAAGCTTACTATTGCAAAATATTGTAAAGTTATAGAATTTTGAAATATTCATCACCACACACAGTATCAAAGATCAGAATATATATATATATATATTGCATTAAATTAAATTCTCCTTTACAAATTCTACATTATATAGATATATATATACAAAGTATAAGCACCAAAAAGCACTGAAATAAGTACATAAAGACTGACTACTTATTAGCATATTCATGTACCTATAAATCTTAATTTCCATTCTAACTTCACTGTATTTATACTCCAAACAAGAAAGGTACTGGAAAGAACACACAGAGAGTGTTATCAAAGTTACAGTAAAAACTTTTTCTAGTGCACTTTCCTGTTTTTTTTTAAATTAGATCATAGTTTCCATCTGTTAAATCAACTGTGAGAAAGTATTATTTTTTAATCAAACTACAGTTTCATCATTTTAAAATGTCTATATTAAAAATTAGTTAACTTCAAAAATAACAGGTAATAAACTATCAGCTACAAATCTGAAAAACAAAAGTCAGACTACTCCAAACCAGTCTACTAGATGCTGTTAAAACTTGAATTTGGAAAATTCACACCATTGGTTTTGTTAAAGTAATTTTTCACTACAAATCACAAGTTATCTGATGATTTTTCACAACATATTATTAATGAATAAATGAAAAAAATTAACTTTGAATGTACATTTCTTTCAGTAATAATAAAGTGATAAATATGTATCTTACTAATGCACCAAAACGCTTTTAGATGCTTATCCTTAATTATATAATGTAATTTCAATAGATCAGTTTCTTTCAAAATTCATGGAGTTTTACTTTAAATTCCCATAATATTTCTTAAAACACAATTTCAAACAATCACCATTAGTATCAAACACTAGAGTTAAAACTGAAGTTTGCATAATAGTCATAACAATGACAAATACAACAATGGATTATTTTCTGTTTCTAAAAATTGTGTGTTATCCTATATTAAGTAAATGGAGAAAACATGGTGTAATACAACATTCTACATCATCAATCTTGAAAAAAACCACATTAAACAAAAACCTGCATTGGATAAGTTTTTATTTATGATTACAAATGATGCTATTTAAAAAACAGTTGTATTGTATGTCTTGATACTACAAAAACCTGAAACCCATTACCAAGTATTTAGAAAACTAAAAGTACTGGCAATAAAAATGTACAATGAACTGAAATATTTATACATGTATACAGAACTCATTACTGTGAAAGAAGCTGAACTGCTTGATGTATCCTTACTTCAAAACAAGTCGGGCACTGGGACTTGTATGTCATATACTTTCTAATGCAGAGAGAACAATCTGCAAAGAAAAAGAAAAACAAACATGTCATTCAAGTTTTCCAGATGAGTGTTCCTGTTTTAGGTTAAGTTTTATGAAATATTTAAACTCTTGAATATTGTTCAACCATAAATAAATATATTATTGTAAATTATAACTTGAATAAAACATGAAAAATAAATATGCTAAACTAGATCACTTAAATTACTTAATTTATTTTCAATACATTATGATACTAATATTCACAAAAGGCATAAAGTAAGGACAGTATAGTTCATGAGATTCTGTGCATTGTTTGAAATATGCTCAAAACTGTCATTTTCAGAAATACTATTTCTCAAAAAGAAATCAATGGTAGGCAATATTTATACTTCTTATTTTAAAGAATAAGACAAATCCTTAGAGTTATTTTACTGTTTCTAGCACAGAAAGGACACTGCTCCTCATCCTATTTCTGGTTTAAACAATTTCTTAGGGTAAAGTTTTTTTTTAATTGGTGTGGTGAAATGTTAATCTTGGAAACAAAAGTTGTTTTAGACCCAACAAACTGTTTCATCAGGACAATTCCTCTTTGATGAAGAAAGGTTCACTTCAAACAGGCTTGGGGTTACATGTTTAAATTAAACTATTACATAAATACATATACTGGAGCTTTTCAACATTAACCATGTTGTCATTTGTTTCTTTAAAAAAACTTTGAAAATGAAATAATGAACATCACATTTTGTCATAAAACTTTTAACCCAAGGACAAAAGTTTCAGTATTTCTTAGTTTTAGAACATAATACAGCAGTGAACCAGATTATGCTAAATAAATTACTTACAATATGAGTAAGTTCTGGTCTTAAACTTTGATCCCTGAAATAATTTTAGTAAAAAAATAATTTACCTGACCCAAACTTACAAAACATATATTTATCTATTACTCCTTTATCTATTAATATGAAATCAAATATTCTGATGTGTGTAATAACTGTCTCTGAAATCCTGAGTTTCCGTGCAGAGTTAGGTATAAACATACAGCATTCTGTACCCTACATGGATAACATATACCACACATCAATAGCACTTTATATTTATATATCTTCTGATTAAAAAATCATTATGACACAGTTATACCATATCAAATTTCCTTTCTTTAGATACTGAACTATACTAATTACAGATGCTAGACTGATTTGGTTTGTTTTGGATATTCATGTAAAACTACACAAGGGTTATCTGCACTAGATGTCTCTAATTTTCAGTTGACAGATGAAAAGGTAGTTTGTCAACAGCACCACCTGCCAACTCTTGGACTACTGTAACTGAGTTGTGGGATTTGAAGGTCACTGTTATAGCACACTTATGTCCTCAAAGTGTAAAATGCTATTTGATTTTTGTTGGAATGAGACACAAACCATGGACCCTCAGATCCACAGTCCAAGACACTAACCAACCCAGGCACAGAACTCATTAATATGGATTCCTTGGCACATTTCATCAAGCTCAAAATCCATAGTTGTAAACACATTCTTTATAACTGTTACATAGTTTTTCTTTTTTGGTCTTAGCCAACAGAAGCTGTGGAACATATCAATTTTAAACAACCTATTGCATTCTAAAAACACTGAAGTCTTTTTTAGGTGTGTGGGAGGGGCATTACTTATAAAAATAGCACTCATTATTGCTAGAAAAATATAGTTAGCATGTGGAACACAGTTGAAGAAATTGAGCAAGGGATGACATACACATTCTTGCATGAATCTTTGAATGACCATTTTTCACTCAAGTTCTCCAGGCTAGCTGTTCATAAAATAACTATCAATCGCTGGACCATCAACAATCAATACTCTCCTTATGAATTTAAAAATAACAGTTGATACTGGCATTGTAACTTTTATATTGTCTTACTTTTCGAAATGCAAAATCTGTCAACAAGTTTGTCACTCTGGTATTGTCCTCTATAACTAAGTCATATATATACCTTTGGTTATCAATCAACATTGTTATAGTCTCTTTATTCATAAAAATTACCAGCTGCTACCAACGTGATAACTTATTTGTACAATATATATATATATACATTTTTCCCCATTTCAGTTTAAAGCACAAGACCTGTCACATGCCAGGTGAGTGCTCTACCAACTAAATTAAACTGTTAATACCCTAGCACTTGCTAGTAAGTCACAATTCAAACTACCACATTCTTCCCCTTTCACAATACAAGACATGTCCTTGAGTCTAATTTATGTTACATTTATGATGTATTTTCCTCAGCTTAGATTTGAACCCAAAAGCTCTTGCACACCACCGAGTGCTCTACCAACTGAGCTACAGGATCAACACCCTATTACTTGCCTATTAATAAAGTCACTTTTAACAACTCATATTACCACACCAATACTGGAATTTTGATTTATTCCTTAAAAATGGCAGCTATTAAGCTTACAAATATTTCTATTGTTTTCATAACAATGTGGTAATTAAAAAGTTTTGTACTTTTTTTTGTTCCTGCTATGATAAAAAAAGTGTTTGTTTCTGAAATATTATCACTCTTGAATAATGTTTCCAAAATTGGAATTCAGCAACTATTTAATTTTTTCTGCTAAATTAACATATATGTGGGTTTGGATTACTTTTGACATTTGCCATAATTCGACAGTTTTATATTGAAAATTAAAAACTCTAAATCAAATATTTAACAAGCACTTTAAGTCCATACATTAAAATTTATGAAATATTTGTCAAATGCAGTTGTAATTATGATTTTTTTTAAGTAAAGTTATATCTAGTTTTATGGTACATATCTGTATTGAAATGTTCAAACTTAATGTACTAGTTTTTAATACATTTGGTATTTTAAAATAAATGTAACCTCAAGACACACCAGAAATGCTATAAGCTTGTTAATTCTTAAAGTTCTACTTACAGTTATGAGAACAAACAGTTACCATACAGACAGTGAAGTAGTCAAAGCAGATGGCACACCTCAAAGATTGATCCAAAGACTAGAAAACATTGTAAAATATACATTACAAACAGATCACTACTGTATTATTCACATGAAGCTGTAATCAAACACATATATTAATGCCACACTTTTGTCATTTATATCTAAATATGCATAGATTTTTAAACTCACATAAATATAACAATATGATAAAAAACCCTATAACCCAAGCGCTTTTGAAAAGTAAAAACTGTTTGCAACCAAAGAAAAAAGGTCCACCTTTTGAAAGTGCTTGGGTTATAGGGTGTTTATCATTTTGTATCAATACTTATTGAGCCTACGTGTTTTTTCTGACATCATGAATAAATATTACAATGTCACTTTTTACTTATCTCTGCAATATCATTAAGATAACAAAATATATGTAACTTTAATCAAATATGAATATTAATTTTTATATTTTAAGGATTAAAATTGATTGCAATTTTTACTTTTGCCTTGGTACATTGCTCTATGCTAGAAAACTAGATATCTCAGCTGTAGAAGTGGGAGGAAATGCATTACAGAGGTAACAGTTTGAAATAAATTCTAATATAGAAACTTTTAAATTAAGTAGACTTACCTCTGAAATACTGTTGCATCAGCGAAGTCACATGACTAGTGTGACGCCACGTTTCTAGAACTATCCTGTACCTTGGCGAATGCTCTAGCATTTACTAGATATAGGGTAGTCTGGTATATAAAAGAGGGTGACAATGTGACAGGACAATAATGTGTGTGTAGATAGTGAGTAATTGAACTGCAGTCAGAAGTATTGTTGCCGTTCGTTGATATAGCGTTTGTTTTAGTGCGATTGTTGAAAATAAGTGTATCGTAAAGTTGTATTCGGAAAGAATAAACCAGTTTTATTAAGTAAGGACTTGTGTCGCTAAAGTTTCGTCGGAACAAAGTTACGGAAAGTTAATTAACAAACGGAGACATAACAAATAGTGTCAGAGAGTGGGATAGAAAAAAAAAAGAGAAGAAGATGGAAACGAGAGGCGGACAACTGCCATCAAATCTGCTAAGCTGTAGTTTGACAACGCAAGAACAGCAAGATAAACAAGAAGAGAGATTACAGCACTTGTTGGAGTAAAAAGAAAACAAAAAAGGGGAGGCAACAGCAGTGGCAAGAAAACCTGCAACAGTGGCAGCTCGAACACCAAAATAAACATGAAGAGAGATTACAACAGTTGTTGGAGGAAAGAAAGGAAACAAGAAGAACGAGAAAACAAACAAGCAGAGAGGCTACAGAAGTGGTTGGAGGAGAAAGAAAATAAACAAGAAGAGAGACTATAGCAGTGGCAGGAAAACCAGCACCAGTGGCAACTAGAACAAGAAAAGAAACAGGAAGAAAGACTCCAACAGTTGAGAGAAAGCCAGCACACAAGAATGGAAAACATTACTAAATTTCAAAGTGAATTAAATACATTAAAGAATGATTTACTGTCTATTACACAAAAAAGATCTATTAGCCATGGACCTAATCAGCCCCAGACAATGGGAAGCCCTTCCGGAACCCGCAGCTAAACCCTAATGCAGACATCTTCCGTCCTGTTAGAAGTCACATCCCAAATATGAATGTCAGCAATAGGGGGTGATTTATTACGAAGGAAGCCACAGGAATTCGATAGGAAGGCACCGTTTCGATAGAAAGCATATAGAGCACAATTTAAGCTTCTGGCAGAAATGAGTGGATGGACAGAGGAGCAGAAAGCAGTGTACCTAGCAACGAGCTTGAAGGGACAACCACTGGAAATACTTGGACAGTTTTCAGCAGACGAAAGGCACAACTCTAAAGCACTGGCAGCTGCTCTAGAACTCAGGTATGGAACTCAAAATCAGTCCGAAGTCTAGAGGGCAAGGTTTAGGACTAGAGTCCGTACTAAAAGAGAGAGCCTGCAAAAGCTGGCACAGGATTTGGAAAGTATGGCACACAAGGCTTACCCAACTGCACCACCCGATGTCCTCAAGTTGTTGATGGGGGATCAGTTTGTAGATGCCATGGACAGTCCACAACTGAAGATGCAAGTAAAGCAAGCACACCCCTCTACTATGCCGGATGCAATGGCCAGAGTTCTTGAATTCGAATCCTATGTTAAGTCCAGCACAGAGGTACCGAGGTTGGTACAGTCATTGGGATTCAATGCCAGAAGAAGGCAGCTTTTGAAGATGTTTGAGGGACTTTGCTGGCACTGTAACAAACCTGGGCACAAAAGAGCTCAATGTCGGCAACTACAACAAAGGGAAGATGTCATGGCAGGAAAGGCTCCTACCTAGAAAGGTCGTTGGAACTAAGGAGAGCAAGGACATATGAGGAGACAGTGTAAAAAGAATACTACCAATAAGTCAGCCTCGGGGAAACCACTAGTGGTTTGTGCTGAAGGACGCCTTCCAACTCCCATGGTAAAAGTCCCAACAGATAGGTGTAAAATGTCAAGCACACATAGTGTCTACGTGACAGGAAAGCTGGATCGCCAAAAGTGCAGCTTTGTCATAGATTCTGCATCTCAGCAAACCCTTGTTAGTATCAAGGTGCTGGATCACAAAGGAGTACCAGAAGCCATACAGAAGCTTTGTGGTTTGACAGGACATTATACAAGGTTGTGGGGACCAGTGTGTGTAACTATTGAGCTCATGGGCATAAAGGACAGACACAAATTATACTTGGCTGACATTGAAGACCCATGCATATAAGGGTTGGACTACTTACTACCGAGCAAGTGTGTAGTTAATTTTGATAAAATGACGTTTGGAAACAACAAAGACCAAATTCCGGTAGTGTTAAATGAGAAGTTGAACTAACCAAGTGTCATCAAGCTGAAATCAAAGTGACTGAAGGAGTTGATGATGGTGAAGTGGATCCAGATATAGATATTAAAGCAGAACAGGAGAAAGACCAAGATTTAAAGCCAATAATTGAATTTCTACATACAGGTGTTTTGCGCCCAGCTTGGGAGAAAGTTCCTAGTTTAAATCCTGTGACAAAGAACTATTGGGCACAATTGGACGAGTTGAAGCTTGAAGATGGTATTCTTCTCTGGAGATGGGAAAGTGACGACCTGGCAAATGGTTATACCGAGAAAGTTATGGGAAGTTGTGTTGCGTCAATGCCATGATAGTTTAACAGGAGGACATCTTGAAGTTAAGATGACATTGAGTCACCTACGGCAGAGATTTTACTGGATAGGTATGAGGCAAGATATGAAAGAATGGTGCAGGACCTGCAGTATATGTTGTGCTAAAATGGGACCCAAGCATAAGGGACGTGCTCCAATAAAGTTACATCGAGTTGGTGCACCAATGGAAAGAGTAGCCGTTGACATTGCTGGTCCTTTGCCCCAAACTCGTGCTGGAAACAAGTACATTTGTGTGGTGATGGATTATTTCGCCAAGTGGTCTGAGGCATATGCAATACACAATCAGGAAGCTACAACTGTGGCTTCAGCTGTTAGTGATTTCTTCTTCAGATTTGGTATGTCATACGAACTGCATTCAGATCAAGGCCGTAACTTTTAATCAGCTATGTTCCATGAATGCTGCAAGTTGTTAGACATACGAAAGACCAGGACAACGCCACTTCACCCACAGTCTGATGGGATGGTAGAAAAGTACAATTGGACACTGGGACAGGAATTGGCAAAGTTTTGTAATAGCCGAAAAGATGACTGGGATGTTTTACTCCCTCCACTGTTGATGGCCTATAGAACAGCAGAGCATAAAGCTACTGGATACACTCCAGCAAAGCTGATTTTTGGTCGGGAACTTCGGTTTGAAGATGTTTGAGGGACTTTGCTGGCACTCTAACAAACCTGGGCACAAAAGAGCTCAATGTCGGCAACTACAACAAAGGGAAGATGTCTTGGCAGGAAAGGCTGCTACCCAGAAAGGTTGGTGGAACTGTGGAGAGTAAGCACATATGAAGAGCCAGTGTAAGAAGAATACT